AACCACCTGGCCATGCCGGGCCCAGGAGGGAAGTAACTACCATATTTATTTTGCACTGTTTTAGTATAATTCATTTTACATCTTGGCTTTTTTTTTGCACTACTGTGTGAAACATTTACAAGAACCTATTAACTGCTTTTTCATTCACCCAGTATTCACAAAAAAAGGTTATTGACCAACTTAGTAATCTGTTGAACAATTACAACAGTTAAACCATGTCTACATATATAAAATCAATCAATAAGGTATTTGTACAGAGTGAGGTGTGAGTGTCAGTGGTTTTTATTTATTTTTCATAGATATAAAAGAAAAGTTTGTTTTTAAATTAAATGTACAAGAGATTCATTATTAACTAATATTCCATATCAGGTTACCAAAAACCTCATGTCAGTGTGTGTTTTCTTATAGTAAAGCCACATCGGGCTATCTGATGTGTCCACCGAGGAGTATCGAACCCCTGATTTTAGCATTGTAAATCCGTGTCAAAAGAATAAGGTTGGTCACCCAAGTGGTCTTTAAAGTTTGAAACAAAGAACTACAATTCCTTTTAAATAAATTATTTGAAAGATGTTTAGAGAACACATGCTAGCATTCAACAGCCTTCTTGGTGTAACAATGTCCAGAAAAATGCTGGCCACGTGTATTTAAAAATCTATAAAGTAATCAGCTTGTTTACTAAATATGAAACTTACGAAACAAGTAAGTGTAGCTAGCTTGGAAACCTAAGACAGCTGATCGAAAAATCTAAAATGCTCACTTAAAATAGAAAGGTACAAGAGTGTAAAAAAACAAATATTAGGCTGGTTGAAATTCTCAGTCTTAATGCGGTACTAGCGAACCCATGGGCGTTTGGCCCACAGTTATTAGACCGCTATAATAAATTTAATGCTTGAAGTACTATTTTGCACTTTTACAGTTTAATTATCATTGCCGCTATAACGCAAGTTTAATTTATTTAACCAAGTAACAAACGGTAATAAGTAGGCCTACTTATTTACGTGATCTAGTTTTCCCCTAGTGGCGGGGTGAAAAAGTTTTACCTTTGTGTAAAACTCGGGCCAGAGATGATTTGTTCGGTACCATTTTGAAGTCGGTGCGAGGAGGAGTTACGTAACACACAGACACTGAATATCATATTGTGGTATTTTCTCAAAACCATTACCCTATAACTTGTAAAAAAAAAATATCCTTTAGGTTGATAACGTATAAGATAGCTTGAAACCACGATAATAACGGTACGTTTCATACTGCTTACATAGAGAACTAAACCTTAAAGTCAAAGTAATAAACAAAAAAATTAGGCCTACATTCAACGGTTACAACTCTTAATTAGGCTTCTCTACCAAGTTAAAATATTCATAATTTTTCATCATATAATTATAGCTTTACATGATTCACATGTTTAAAAACATTTAAAAAAAGAAACAAAATCAGCCTGTAAATTAACTACACCTGCAATACACTTAGATATTGTACTAAAACTGAATTTTTCTGCTTTAAAACAAAACAAATTAATATACAATTTAAAATATAAATTGATTATAAGGTTTACATCTAAATCATATTGTTATAACATGAATCGACTTACATATTACAACCGCTGCTATTAGCCTCACTCCATTGGGTGGTGGTGTGCAGTCGGGAAAAAACGGTTCCAGGATGTAATTGGCAAACGTTAAGGCTGCTATCGCATTTGATACCGGCATGGTGATTAAAAGTGCTACCCAAAGGAATAAAAATGCCGGTAAAGGTCCGAAGGCTTCATAAATATAGGCATAGTCCCCTCCCGATTTTGGTATAGCGGTTCCCAGTTCGGCATAGCATAAGGCACCCAGCATAGAAATAATGCCGCATGCAATCCATACGACGAGAGCCATTCCTACGGAGCCAGCTTCTTGTAACACGCCACGAGGCGATACAAATATTCCTGAACCAACTATTATCCCTACAATTATTGCAACTCCATGAACAAGTCCGAGTTCTTTTTTAAGTCCAATACCATTCCCATTTTCTTCATTTTTCTTCCCTTCTGGATTCATTGGCTCTCTCTCAGCAACTTGATTTGAAGACATTACGAACGTTTTTCCTGATAACAAACGTCTTCCATATACACCACGCTAGTCGCTTACTCTCGTAGGCATGGCTTTAATACTATTAGCACGTGACCTGTTTCGTCATAAACAGCATAAGTACACCTCCAGCAAATAGTAAAAAAGAAGGGTTAGTTTCTATATAAGTGATAAATGCGAGTTTAGCTTTTTTTGTTTTCCCATTACAATCATCATTAACACAGAAATAAATATGAATTGAGTTAATTAAATATTTCTTAAATACTTCATGATTTTGTGCATAAATTTCACTTTGTATTCGACGTTATTCGGGTAAAAATTAAATTATCACAATCAATTTATTTATTTGTTGTATATCTTTGCGACTTGTTTTAAATAATAAGATTGTGCCAAGTCAGCGATATCGTTTTTTTCCTTAACAATTTCCAAGGTGACTGATAATAACAATAGTAAGTTTTACTTGTATATTATAACTAATATATCTTTTTCTCAAGTTATTTTTCTTTGTTTATGGCAAAGCTACTAAGAATAGTTAATTGACGTACAACGAACGATCTATGAGCAGAATAAAAACTATCTTACATAGACTAAATGCTTCAACAGAATTTTTATTACGCGCTTAAAAACGTTGTTTGTCAATTAGCATAATAGGCTTCCGTATACAAGTAAAGCTACTGGTTATTTGCCGCCGTCTCTAATATTTTAACTGCCGACCATAAGAAATGTAACTGGTCGCACACCCCGCCAACTCTTTATCAAGGAATAGTAGGATTTACCGTCACATTATAACGTATGTTCGGCGCCAGGATTCGATCACGCAAACCCACTGATTGTGAATCTGTCTACCTAACCATCAGACCCATTTTCTTTCAGAAAGTTTCATACTGGGATATTCATCTTATTTTCGCGTTTTACTTTTTAATTTCAAAATAAAACCATGGATTATGATAATTACAGCTATGGCAAGTGTGTGTGTGTTCACAATTTTGTTTTTATTTATCGTGCAAAGTTTTTATGAAGAATGAATATTTGTTTTTACGTGCAAAGCTACAAAATGGGCTTTCTGGGCTGTGTACCCAACCTCTATATCAAATTTCGATTTTCAGTGTCATAAGCCTTCAAGCTTACCGTAGAGCCACCTGGTGGTTGGAATAGCACATACTATTCCTCCACCCGAAAATTTTTATTTTTAAGATATAATAATATTGACGAGTAAAATAATCTTTATAAAATACAAAATCTATCTCAAAAATTCCCCAAAACCTGCCAGTTACTGTGGTCAAGAATATCAAAAATAGAATAAAATTATAAAGCACAGGTAGATACAAATAATTTTAATTTCATAAAAATCTACTCGAGGGCTATCTGCACCTAATTTTGAAATGATACATTAGAGGGAAGGCAGCTAGTTAACACCACCCACCACCAACTCTTTACCAACGAGTAATGGAATTTGACTGTTATAACACCTCCACTGAGAAGGCGAGCATGTTTGGGGAACGGGGTTTGATCTTCCAACCCTCATAGTACGAGTAGAATGCCCTAATCACCAGGCTATGATGTTTGAACATGCCATTAATTCTTTCACTGTCATGGGTACATATTTCACCCATGGGCAAATATATGGGGCATACTGCATAACCTTTGCTCCAGCCTCAAAAACCGATATCAACTAGATGCAACTTAGGAATATTTTATGTATCTAAAAGTTGGTCAGTTGTTGATAAGCGCAGAGCTACAAAATGGGCTATCTGTGCTCTCCCAACCACAGGAATCGAAAACAAATTTTTAGTGTCTAAAGTAAGCCCACGGACTTACCGCTAAGCCATGGAGGGGGGACGTATGTTAAGCTAAACCTGACACTAGGAGAATTATTTAACCATATATGCAGCAGAGAAAGCTTCAAAACAAACTTAGTTATATGTTGGACTGGTTCGCCAGTTGTTTTCTTATTTATTAATTTATAATTAATTATAATTATTTATTTTTATTATAAATTATCACCATAACGTGTGTGACGTATTATAACATATTTTCAGTAGAATTACTTTTTATCTTTAGTTCCAGGCTCAATTGTAGGCCTTTTGTTAAAGATGTACATTAACAACATTTTAGTTTAATTTGACATGCAACTCAAGAAGAATTAATTAATAACAGAAATCTGTTGTCAAAATTGACATTAAAAAAAAATCCAGTAAATAAACATAAGTTATTTTATTCCTTCTACACCGTCGGGGTACAAAGTTGTGGCACTTAAAAATAGTTCTTGTTTCTATGGTAATTATAACACTAGTCTTACATCGTGGTCTATTTTTTAACGTTTCACTGTGGTGTCCTCCAATTGTGTTTCCACACTGGAATAAAGAGTAGTGGTCCAAAACCTTCCATCACTTTCAGAAATAACATGATTTTATTTTACTGGTGGATTTTTTGAATAAGAGATAATCGTAAAACAAACTGATCTTACGTTATGCAAAGAAATAAAAATTATTACTGAACATATAATTTTCCATAATTTTTTAATATCTTGAACAAAACAAATATGAGACTTACGATAACATCAAATACTATTATGTGCTTTTAAAATTTTTACGACAAGATTTAAGATTGATTTAGAAAACAAAAATGTTTGACTAATATTAAAACCCAATGGATGAGAAATGACTGTACACTAACTTTCTTGAACAGATGCTGAAAGAAAAGTTGTAAGTATTTTCTCAGTGCTTATCCTCTTAACCTTGCATACATTAGGAGTCAGGTCAGATGAAATGTCTCACAATGTATTCCTCCACAAGGGATCCTAACAGTGGACTTAAAATGAGACTTGTTTAGTAAAGGAAAACAGTTTGACATTGATATAACTTTACAACAGGTGAGACACATTGCTTCCTAGAACTTAACGATCACGTAAAGAGTCGAACGGTAGCATCTGCTCCTGAGGAAAAGATCCATGGCTGGTAGGGATGAAAACAACAGTCAAAAACACCCAAGTCTTGGGTAACTTTATGACCACGAAGGATTTTCACAGGAACGATCAGAGGATTCTGAAGTAAGTCACTGAAAGAAAATAAAAAGATGGTAGGTTTCTTGCACTAAAATACAAACACGCAAGATACAAATTGGTTGGAATGTTGTGAAAGACATTTGTTATTACAGTCAAGTTTAAGTTTGACTAAGTAAGTAAAGCAAAGAGAATGGGCGTAATATTCTTCTTATATGGAATAACTGGGAAATAAAAACATCAAAGAAAGGAAGTAAAAAATACATTTGAAGTGATGGGAGCCAAGAGAAGCTTTCTTATCCAACTTCTAAGGAAAGAAAAAATAGTTGTACCTACTTTACAAACCTTGCATTAAACCGTTTATCTCGGTATTAGCAGAATTTGAACATAAAAACTGTATCAATTATTCATAAAAAAAGCTGTAATGAATAAACAGATTTAAAAAATCCATGCAAGACTGAAGGAATGTGGGTGGAAGAGGGAAGTAGAGCGGGTGTGAAAGTATGTGGAAAATACAGATACTAATTAACTCAATTTGAACATTATTACTAGAGGAACCATGAGGTGATTGATGGAGGAAGAAAGTCTTTGTCAAACTTCTTAATCATTAAATAGTAGTAGTAGTAGAATCAGTATTAAAATAATTTCATTCACACTGGGTACCTGGTGTTAAAAATATTTATAATGGTTGGAGACGGCTTGAATGGGTAATGAAGAAAAACTTTAATACAAGTTTAACATAACATAAATAATAACATATAATAATGCTTGCTTGTACTTTTTTGGGTTTTTGTGATTAATGTACCATGAAGAAAGTACTAGCAATTTATCAGTCTGACGCACTACTTTCTAGTCGATCTATTGTTTTGTTAACCCTAGATTCATTGATTTCCTAACCCTAAATTGATTCACTAGCTAACCCTAATAACGTTTGTCTAGGTAATGAAATTTGTAATACATTGTGATCTATGTTTGCATCAGTTGACAAGTTTACAAATGATGATAAGTTTGAAACGTATGGCATTTGGAACTTAAAATGGTAGCAATGATAAGTATATTGATATACACTGCTATCATTTTAAGATTCAAGTTCTAGTTGTTTCAAACTCATCATTTGTTAACAAAACATTCAACCTTTATACAAACACTGTAATTATCCCTAGTATAAACTTAAATTAATACTTTATACAAACACTGTAATTATCCCTAGTATAAACTTAAATTATTACTTTATACAAACACTGTAATTATCCCTAGTATAAGCTTAAATTATTACTTTATACAAACACTGTAATTATCCCTAGTATAAGCTTAAATTATTACTTTATACAAACACTGTAATTATCCCTAGTATAAGCTTAAATTATTACTTTATACAAACACTGTAATTATCCCTAGTATAAGCTTAAATTATTACTTTATACAAACACTGTAATTATCCCTAGTATAAGCTTAAATTATTACTTTATACAAACACTGTAATTATCCCTAGTATAAGCTTAAATTATGTAATATTACTAGTGTAAAAAAAAACTACATAAAAATTAAAAACAAGTGTATTGTAAACAGAAACCTATGTTATGGATTCACAAACACCTTCACAAAGCAATTAGATGTTTTTAGTTAACACAATCTAGAAGTAAACTCACTTGTAAACCATTCCGTGACTGACAATGACAGTTCCATCATCAGAGGCCGAGGCAAAGAGGGGATAACGTCTGTGGAATGCTACCTGCCGCAGGGCTTTTTTGTGGTGTCTGAAAGTGTTGATACCAAATCATATAAACCAAACTTCATAATATTACAGTTACAGAAGTGAAATTCTGAAAAACAAACTATATAAAATTATAAATAGTAAGTACTAAGAGACCATCTTGCGCATCTCCCTCTGTCATAAACACAGACTGAAAGAAACTCGTAAATAAGTTTATTTTAACCATTTTTCATTTAACCAGCATTAGCAGTTGAATCGGGGAAAGGTGTGTGTGTGAAAAAATATTTTATTCTATGTATTTTAACTCTTAAATATACTTTTTAAGAAGACTTTATCTTAATTTAAAGGTCTTAAAGCCAAAGTGAGAGAAGAAAGGATATAACATTGGTAACAATCCCACTCCTCACTGCATAAAAAATGATTTGAATCAACCAGTTCATATCGTTTAAACATTTTCTGAGAAATTCTGCTCCAGACCCTACTGTGTAGTCATTCACTGCTCCCCCTAAATAAAATCCTGGATCTGTCCCTACTTGAGACCAGGCTGGGCATTATAAAATTTTCAAATACGTTTTTAGAATGAACAACACAAGTTAATGTGGCGCTAACACAGTTGCTTGTAAACAGCTTGCCAAGTAACTCAAACTTGTAAGAAACAATTATAACAGCCACTCACCTCATTGTTTTATATGGTTTTGTCGAAAGATCCAAGTCAAACCAACTCAGCCTCTTGTCATAACTCCCTATAATGATGTTATCACCTGAAAATTGATATCTAGATTAAAAAATAATGACCGTACCAGATCCGACATTTTGCTGCACCTTTTCTGCTAAGTTACTATATAATTTGCTTCTACACATATGATTGTAATTGTCCAGGAAATTTGTTTTAATATTAATTTTTCAACAATAACATGCACATGACTGGATAATATTAGGTCATACATAAAAGAAAGCATGCTTGTGGAAGCATGGGAACAATATGGGTTATTACCTTTAGTCATTAAAGAATTCATCATGCTTGTAAAACAACCGTAAAGTATAAGGTACTTCAAAAGATAATTAAAAAAATATATTACCTTTAGGGTGAATGGCAAGGCTGGAAACCCATTTACAGTTGGTGAGCAGTTTCTTGGAGATCTCTTGTTTGAGAAGATTGTACACTCTAACATACTGCTGTGTAGCCACGAAGAAATATGGCCGCAGGGGGTGAAACAACACTTTCTGTACATTCCCTTTTAACCGTTGGAAAGGCAACTACATAACACAATGAAACCATCATTAATATTAGAGGCTACTACTTGAAGGTTATAACTAACATTTCAGGCTTTTAATCTGGGCATTATAAGAAATGCTCACATCCTTCCTTACTAACATCTAAGCGAACTAACAAGTATAGTGATGTTTAAAACTCCAAGTGGAGCAACTTCCTTCCATCATCTCATTTTTCTTAATTTTAACTAAAACTATTTTACAAGACGCAAAATGTCGATCCCGGTTTGTCGACTGACCCCTTTTTTCTTTCGATCGTGAAGATATACATTGATTGTGTAAAATATTATTCACAATAGAATTATCTTACAGAAAAATGTGTACATTTGAAATGAAACCTGGGGTCCATACGACCAATACTTCAAATATTTCAAATTAAATATACAATATGTCCAGAAATTATGTCAACAAAACTGTTTACTTGTGCTAAAAATACTTCTAATGGTAATTCTACCAACTTATTCAATCATAACTGCTATGCACAGACTGCAGTGCCATAGACTAACACTCTGGTCTATCCGAAACTACCATAATGACATATTTAATGAAATTCACAGCTACAAGGAGAGAATTCAATGTTTTAAACTACCTTGACAGAAATGACTAACCTGAGAATGTCGCTTGGACAGCTGATGGATTATAACAGATTGATTTCCTGCTTCCATCATTACTGTGGCAAAGTAATCTCCCTTGGAGTGCCACGTGATCTGATGGACGTCACGAGGATGAACGACCGTACATCTGATGCCTTGTGTCCATTGCTCATTGTCTGCTGTAGACCAGCTAATAATTTGTTGTTTTTGAGCTAGGAAGAAATTGAGGTTCGAAGAAAATAGAAACACGTCATAAAACAGTTTTTCTTTTATAGTCTATCTTAGTCTCTGTATTCGTATTCTTTTTATGGAAAAGAGCATAATGGAATGGGAATTAAAGAAGTAGACGAAGAACATGTATTTATACCCCAGTTACACATCACAAGTCAATTATTCACCTAATACTAATGAGAAAACTTTAGAATTTTCGTTACAGAACATATAGAACAGTTTATTAAACATACCTCCCACATCTTCGAGAGGTGTTTGAAGGAGACTGTCTGTGTTACTGATAACCAGTTTGTCTCCGAGACCAGGGTTGATAATATACACCTTCTCTTCCCTATGATTATGAAACAAAGGTTTTAGCCAAATGCAAAATTTGGAGGTTATTCATAATTATATAACTTTAGAGATTGTTAAGTAGTTAAACTCTATAGCCTGAAAAGTATACTTTAGAAACTTATTAAACAGCCCTTGAAAAATATACTGGTTTAAAATAAAAAAAGAATATCAAACATTAAAACTTTATTAATAAAACTTGAGAAAGGCAGTTGTTGGAAGATATGTTTCGGTCATCGGGGATATTTTTACAAAACAAGGACACTTTGTGCAGGATTTAATGGTTATAACTAGATTAGTTTGATCTAAAGAAGAAAATAAGACAGCGATGACAACAGAGGGCAACCCCAATAATAAAAAAAAAGAACTCCTGAGAGTCCTAAATGATGTGTTTGTTGAGACCAACAGGAAAATCTGCTACAATATTGAGAAATCTGATTAACAGGTAACATGGTAACAAGCTAAAGAAACTGAAGAATTCATGCAGTACAGTTGTTATAAGTTATCTTTAACCGGTTTATAAAGTAAATCATTTATATTTATAGTTCCACTTTGGAGAATAGTATGTACTCTTTACCCTAATTGGTATATCTATATACATATATAATGCAGAGTTGACTGACTGTTTGGTGTACTGATGTCTGAAGTTGTTCCGAGAAATTAGTAGCACAAGCGTCTATTAAACTTGGTAGAGAAACATAAATTTATAAACAATCAAAAAACTTTCATTTTTTACTACGGGAAGCCAGTGCATAGGAGAAGTATCTTAACTGACTGGACGTATTCAGTTCACCTTTATGGGAAATGCCTGGCACTCCTCCATCCTCGTGAAGCCAACGAAATAAATGGTTCACATGTAGTGAATAATTAACAAAAAAGTTGTTTTCATTCAAGTCCTACCGAGATACACAGAATCGCTCGATCTAGAACATGGGCACTAGTGATGTAAGATTATACTGAAAAAAAGATACAGTATTATATCAGATAAAACTGTGAATAAGCAATGCAAGACTGGAGAATAATTCTCTGTACTTACACAGCCACAGCAATCAAACAAACAGATGTATTTGGACACCACGCAACATTTTTCACTTTCCCGTTGAAGTGAATGGTTTTCATACACCGACCAGTTAGGACTTCCCAGAACTTAACAGTCATATCATCACCCCCTACAAACAGAAATACAGCAAAATTACACTTGTTATAACCATCTGTAAAATATAAATATCAGACGGGGAACTATACTCCATAAAAATCCGTTAATCAAGGCTTAGTATTTGGTGGAACTCTCGATTCCCCAGATGTCTCTCTTAGAGGAATAAATATTAAAACAGGAAATAAATACAAACATACCTTAGATAAGAATAATTGATTTTGAGTTGCTATTACTCCTACATAAATTTTAAACATTATAAATATCACATGGGATACTATGGTAGAGTATTCACGCAATGATAGAAATGTGTAGGACTTAGATATGTATTAGAATGATTAACAAACAATGTATGTAAGAGAGAAAAAAAATCAATCAGTGGGAATAAATATCAATATTGAAATCAATTATTTCAAGATTCAAATGACCAAACTGTTGTACCTGATGCAAGAAACTGTCCAACTGGTTCCACGGTAATGCTTCTTACGATATCTGTATGTCCAAGGTACACCTAGAGGTAAAGATACAAAGAACATATAGTAAACTACAAACTAAAGAAACACTATTACAAACCCCTGATGAATATCAGTGAAGTATTTTTTCAATTTTGTTTTTAGTGAAATTGTTCAGTATTGTTCCTACTTAGTGCTTTCTTCAGTAGAAATCGTTCGGTATGGTTCCTACTTAGTGCTTACTTCAGTAGAAATCGTTCGGTATGGTTCCTACTTAGTGCTTACTTCAGTAGAAATCGTTCGGTATGGTTCCTACTTAGTGCTTACTTCAGTAGAAATCGTTCGGTATGGTTCCTACTTAG